ATTCTTTCAGCATTAGAAAGAGGACAGTTTGTTCTAGTTACACTCCAAAAATCACCTTGTTATGACGTACAGTGATTGCGAGCGAATAAAAACAAAATCAATTTTCTAATTTTTGATCCGAATTACCCCTAACGAGTGTACAATGTTTTACATAGTTCAGTATCACGATCGTATATCTCCGTTTCGTATACGAAAAAATAGATTGATACTAGCGAGAACCCATGCACACTGCACGGCAGTTTTCTCCTTTAACGTATGACCTCAGACGTTTAACATTTCATCCTGTAAAAAACATACGGACATTCGATATTATGTATATAGATAGATAGCCCTAAGGTCTCATACTCTTATATCGGAGATATTTTTATAGTCCATATAGCCGTCGGCCTTAAAACCTTACATCCCTTATAGCTCTTGTAGCCTTATTCCCTTCCCCCTAATGTCTTATCGTATTACAACCTTGCTGTCTTCAGAGCCTATGAGTACCCCATAGAACGTTCCTTGAGGACCTAGAGGATATCCCAATATAATAGCTCTTAAGAGTCTGTGGGTACTCCCTGCAGGATAGCCCTTAAGAGCCTATGAGTACCCATATAATCACCCTTAAGGACCTATGAGTGACCTCATATAATAACCCTTGAGGACCCATAAGCATCTCCACAGAATGGCACATGAGGACCTATGACCCTTCTCATAGAGCGGCCCTTGACAACCTATGCGTCCCTCCATAGGATAGCCTTTCACAACCTATGAGTACTCACATATAATAGCCCTTGCAGACCTATGACTACCCCCATAGAAAAGCCATTAAGGACCTATATGCATTCTCATAGAACGGCCCTTGGGGACCTAAGGGTACTCCAAAGGATAGCCCTTGAGGACCTATGACTGCCCCTAGAATAGCCCTTGAGGGCCCATGACCACTCCCATAGGATAGCCCTTAACCCTTTAACCCATTGAGTACCGGATTATTTTTATATAATAAAAATTTTCATATTTCAAACTAACGTTTATTTCGCAAAAAATATTACAAAGTACATGAATTAAAATGCTTGTAGAGTGTGATAGTCTTTAAAACAATCCATAAGACACAATCCTACGTCACATTCAATGCATTCATACGAAGTATCTCTTCTTGATCTGGCTCTTCTCACAGTATTGGCACAAACGTAACATTTTCTTCTTGGAGGGTGTGGGGTGTGGGTGTGGGTGTGGATATGAGTGTGGATTAGAAAAATAACAACACCCACACCCACCCACATCCACCCACACCCACACCCACACCCACCCACACCCACCCACACACCGCCACACACCCACACCCCACACTCACACCCACCCCACCTCACACTCACCCACACCCACACCCCACACCCACACCCACACCCGTCATGAACTTTATTAGTGTACAAAACTGACACAATCAATCGTAATGCATATTTTTTTCGATTCGTTTGCATAGAAATAAGCATCAGAGGGGATGCGCGGGTGTGGATGTGTGGCTGTGGCCGTGGGTCTGGGTGTAGGTATGGGTGTGGGTGTGGATACCTCTAACGTGAAACACTCACACTTACACTCCATATCCACACCCACACCCTCCACTACGATTGACGGCCAGACATTTTCCGTCTTTAATTCCTCCAAATGAAAGCAACCAGACCTCCGGAGAAGATGTTATGTTTGCAGCAACACTGAACGACGTGCGAAGGAACGAAGTGATACGCGCTGCCAATGTACCGAATGCGATGTTGAACTGTGCATCACCGACTGTTTCAAAGATTTCTATACCTTATAGAGGATTTAACGTTATCTTGTATAAATCTGTAAAACTGGATCGAAAAATAGCTATGATGATTTTTTGTAGAGCTTTTTTTCTCTCTTTTATGTCGACGGTCAAAGGGTTAAGGACCTATGAATATCTCTATAAGATAGCGCTTGAGGACCTATGGCTATCCTATAGCACGGCTCTTGAGGACTTATGGGTACCCAAGTATAATAGCCTCTGAGCACCTGTGGGTACGCCTATAGGATAGCTCTAAATGGCCTCTAACTATCCCCATAGAAAAGCCATTGAGGACCCATGGGCACTCCCATAGGATAGCTCTTGAGGACCTATGAGTACTCCCATAGGATAGCTTTTTAGGACTGATGGGTACCCCCATGTAATAGCCCTCGGCGACTTCTCCTTATACCCTTACTTGACCTTTAACCTTTGATCTGGCACAGACACACATACACTGAACATTATACTTAGGGATACCCAAAAGTAGTGGCGGAGGTACGTTATTTTCTTATAGAAGGCTTGAAGAAATTTTCTTTTCTTATGGGATGATAGAGAAAACGAAGCTCTATTCTTCTATGCTATTTCATCCCTATTCAACTAGTACCATAATAATAATATTTCGACAAGAACTAGTTTTGTGTAAAATATAACTATAATATTGAATCATATTTTCATCTATGTGCATTTTTGTTTTTGGTTGTTTCTTTATTTTTTTCTTACTTTTTCTTTCTTCTTTTTTTTCTCGCCTCTTCTAATACCTAGTCTTTCATACATAGATATACACAAATATATATTAAGACACCCGCCCAGTTTGTTTCTTGAGTATGTGAAATTTAACCGTGTATTGATGGAACAAAAAGTTGCTGAACTCGTTTGATATTTTTTTTTATTCTACTACTATTGCCTGTGATAGACTACGTGTATCATATTTATGAAGAATTAACTATTAAAAGAGACGAGAAAAGAGAGAAGAAAGGAAAGGTAAGAAAAAAACAAAGAAACAACCAAAAACAAAAATGCACATGGATGAAAATATGATTCAATATTATAGTTATATTTTACACAAAACTAGTTCTTGTCGAAATATTATTATTATGGTACTAGTTGAATAGGGATGAAATAGCATAGAAAAATAGAGCTTCGTTTTCTCTATCATCCCATAAGAAAAGAAAATTTCTTCAAGCCTTCTATAAGAAAATAAGGTACCTCCGCTACTACTTTTGGGTACCCCTAAGTATATAAGATACGTATCCAGGACGAGTACTCCTTGAATAGGATTTCAGTCCGGATTTCTTCGAAATCCGAGCCATGGGATTCCGACAAAAATTCGACAAGATGATGACGCAATTATTTGAATCCGACAGGATCCAACCGAGCGAGAGTCATCTGGAGAGAAAAACGGTCGTTTATGTTCTTCGTATATGGAGTCCATTAATGATCTCCCTTTTGCACCCTATTTCTTCGCATATGGTCGTGTTTCTTCATATACATTCAGATCAAACAAGCGCGATCGTAAGCGATCATGTACACGATTGTTGACGGCCTTATGCAGATTCCTTAAAGCTCAACCTAAGCAGTCACGGCGATATATAACCATAATACTCGACCATGTAAACGACCAAAATACGATCGTTTACATTCGTGCGGAAATCGTATATGGTCTTTTATAGGTGTATACGTAGTTTGTAACCATCCACCCAAGAACAAAAAGAAATATTTTTGTAGAAATATTTTATTCTTTGACATTGACAAATTTAGTAAAATGCTTTTTAGCTGATCAGGATTAAGTCCAGAAGAGAACACCAGACAACGTTTTCTATCTTGTTTTGTTGTGTTCTCCTTACGTAGTTCTTCCTGGTGGGTGGCACGCTACGGCAAAAGTTATAATTTTGTCCTGTGTATTCTTTTAAGATAGGACGGAAGGTCGAAATAGTAGGACCATTCTATCCTGTACCGAGCTCTCATTTTTCATGGAAACACTTATCGTCCATTATTAATGACCTTTTTACACACACACTAAAATATGTTACATGTGTCGTACTTGTAAAACAATATACAACACACATAAGTACGACACGAAGCGTTTGTTGTGACACATTTTGTCTAGTAAGGGCACTATACATTCTTGTACGACACATATGAGATATTCTGAAAACGTTTGTCGAATATATTGTGGAACGCTTTCTTCATTTTTCTTTTTTTGTAAAAGCAAAGTATGATATGTTTTCCAATTAAGTTTTCATATAGTGAAAACTTTAGCAGGTCATATCTTGACATCTGTCCCATCTTGAGTTGGTTTGATCTCCATCAGATGTCTTTCGGGTATTCCTCTCTCGATCATCGATTAAGATCGACATGTTCATTCTCCACCAATCGATAATCAAGAAATAATCTAGAAAACAATTACACGAATAAAAATACGTAAGTTTCAAATCTCCAATTGAGTAGTGTATATGTAGCTATATGTACAAAATAAAATTATGAATAAATAATCAACAGACAGAACACGACAAATCCATATACGTCACATTCAAATTGCGATACACTTTCGCTATTGAATCTGTGACAGTATAACTTATAACACATAGATGCAATACACTTTATTTTAGTGTGTAGAATCTAATACGTCTTTTAACTGAACGAAAACATTTAAAATTGTCCTGCATTCTTTCCTTATGAAAATCGGTTATAAGCCAACTCCAAATGTTTTGATGGGTCGTTTTTTAGTAAAACTCTATATTAGATATAATTTTCATAGTGTAGCTATTTATCAAAAATGAATTCATTTTCCCATCATCATGATTTATTATGTATACTTATAGAAATTTTGTACACTTAAAGGATCCATTGAAACAATAATAACTTTCAAGTTCATTACTCAACGAAATACAATACAGACCCTGTGTTTGATAGCAGAATGTCAATAGTATTGTTCAATGTTATACTTATTTTAACAATAGAATCATATGAGAACAGTAAGAATCAATATGGTACAACTAACGTCCAAGGCACTGATACAAATTGCACTTGCTCTTCAATATCATCTAGTGTCTGTATGAAATACGTATGTAGTACCACAATACGAAGGGCCAGTTGTTTCCCAGGCTCCAGTCAAATTGCTCTCGATGATGGTAGTTTTAAAGCGTTATCAGATATCTCGATCGGAGATCGAGTATTAGTCAATGAACACAATGTCTATGAGCCTGTCATTGCTTTTATGCATGGAGAACGTGAAGGACTTTTCGGATTTCTTGCCATCGATGTACAATCAACTGTTTCGAATTCTTCCTCTACGATTTTTATTTCATCACACCATCTTATGTTTGATTTCGAATTTGGTAATGCTCGTTATGCCAAAAGTTTTCATGTCGGTGACCAAGTTCAGTTGATCGAGACTGCTCAAGTAGTTTCTGGCAAAATTATTAATATTCGACCAATAAAACAGAAAGGATTTTATGCTCCGCTGACTCCATCTGGTACCATTGTTATTGATGGAGTATTGTGTTCGAACTATGCTATAGTAGAGAATCATGCCTTGGCTCATAAAGTGATGAGTATTTATCGATGGTGGATCAATCTTGTCGGTGCACCTGTATTAAGCAATCGACTACCTTGGGTGTTACAAGTCATGTACAATGTAGAAAAAATGATGGGATTTAGTAATTGGGGAACATTTTTAACTAGTTATGTTTGATATGAAACATTCACAGTGACCACTTTAGTGTGAAACTTTTAAACATAATATTTTTATTTTTTTCACATATTCTGGAATTACAAATGCATATAGAAATATATATCAATTTATTTCATCATTTTCTTTTCAATAATCAAACCAAAACGTTTTTTTCCAATGATTTTAATATATCGGAGAAATTCAAGAACTCTTATATTAGTAGGATGTGGGTATCATTCTAGAAATTTGAATACTCGCATCTACACCAACACACACACCTACAGCCACAAACCCAACCTGACACTCACATTTCCACACCGTATAACCATATCCACATACCTGCACCCAATACTGGCACTACACATCCATATCTAGACCCCCTACACCTCACAGCTTGCACCCAAACCTACGTGCACACTTGCATCGGTACCCACTTCACATCCAAAGCCACATTCACTCTTACATTCATACAGGCACCGGCACCATCACCTACCCAAATAGATGTTTAGTCAAACTGTCATGGCCGTTATAAAATTTTGAAAAAGTACCAACAAAAGGACTATTGAAGTTGGAGGTCAGTATGCACATGAATACCTGACAGATAGTTTCTGATTTGGGTGTGGGTATCAGTTGAGGAGTACTAACATCTACATCCGCACCCACACTTACTAGGAGGCGACACGCTCAGCTCAAGCTCAAAAAAAGTGAGCTGTTGAAAAAGCTCACTGAGCTGAACTGAACTGTTCCAACAGCTCATCTGAGCGAACCGAACTTTTGAAACCGCTCATTCTAAATGAGCTGAAATGTTCGAACAGCTCATCTGAGCGAACCGAACTTTTGGAACAGCTCATTTCAATTGAGCTGAACCGTTCGAACAGCTCATCTGAGCGAACCGAACTTTTGAAAACACTCATTTCCAATGAGCTGAACCATTCGAACAGCTCATCTGAGCGAACCGAACTTTTTGTAGGAAACCCTCAGGACCTCAAGCGATACAAGGGGAATACCCTTAGGTCCTCAAGCCCTATTATAGAGGGATACCCTTAGGTCCTCAAGGCCTACTATAAGGGGACACTCTAAGGTCCCCAAGGCCCACTATAGAGGGGTACCCCTAGGTCCTCAAGGCCCACTATAGAGGGATACCCCTAGGTCCTTAAGGTCTACTATAGAGGGAAACTCCTAGATCCTCAAGGCCTACTATAGAGGGATACCCTTAGGTCCTCAAGGCCTACTATAAGGGGACACTCTAAGGTCCCCAAGGCCCACTATAGAGGGGTACCCCTAGGTCTTCAAGGCCCACTATAGAGGGATACCCCTAGGTCCTTAAGGTCTACTATAGAGGGAAACTCCTAGATCCTCAAGGCCTACTATAGAGGGATACCCTTAGGTCCTCAAGCCCTACTACACAGGGGTATCCTAAGGCTCTCAAGGCCTACTCTAGGAAGGTACTCTTAGGTCCTGAAAGCCTACTATAAGGGGATACTCTTAGGTCCTCAAGGCCTATTATAGAGGGATACCCTTAGGTCCTCAAGGCCTACTATAAGAGGTCACTCTAAGGTCCTCAAGGCCTACTATAGAGGGATACTTTTAGGTCCTCCAGGCCCACTATAGAGGGATCCCCTTAGGTCCTCAAGGCCTACTATAGAGGGATACCCTTAGGTTCTCAAGGTATGCTGTACAAATGTACTGTTAGGTCCTCGAGGCCTGCTATAGAGGGACCCTTCGGTCGTCAAAACCCACTGTAGGAAGAATACTTTTAGGTCCTGAAGGCCTACTATAAGGAGGACCCTTAGGTCCTAAAGGCCTAATATTGAGAGATAACCTTACATTCTGAAGTCCTACTATAGGGGGTACCGTAAGATCCTAGAGCCCCACTATAGCAGGGCACCGTTAGTTCCTCAAGACTTACTATAGGGGGATACCTTAGGCCCTCAACGGCCCCCATACGAGGTTTCTCTTAGCTTCTGAATGGCTACTATAGGGAGGTCAGGCTAAAATATTCCAGTTCCCAGGCCGTTCCCTACGAACAGGCAACTACCCACTCTTCACCAAAGATCAAATAAACATCCCAGTATATTTCACGAGGCCTTTCCTACTTCAACCGAGGGCGAATCTCGGTTATACTCAATCTGATCCCTGGGTTATTGGGAATGCTCTGTTGATTGATGGATATATGCAGGAGTCCCCAATCGACCTTTCACCTGCGAGCCGACAGTCACAAAAACCAGTTGGCGTCAAAGATCAAAAAAAAACATTTGGTGCAGTCTCAAAACGCTTTTTTCTCTCTATTGTAAGGGCTATCCATGACGTGTTCGGACGCACTCTAGGCTAATCGAGGATGCTCACGGGTGTCTTTTTGACCTCTTAACTCAGATGGTTTCTCCGACTGTCGGTTTGCAGCTGAAGTGTCTTATGGGGACCTGTACATATAGCCATCAATCGATAGAGCATCCTCGTTAACCCTATAATTGGCCCAAACATGACCATGCGTTGTCCTTACAATAAGAAAGAAAAAATCCCAGCAAGTTTCATTGGATGTTTTTTTGACCTTTGACCCCAGATGTTTTTTGCGACTTGCTGTTTTCAGGCGTAGCGATCGACGGGAACCCCTACATATACCCATCAATCGATAGAGCATCCTCGGTAACCCTATCGTCGGCCCGAACATGACTATGTGGGTGTGGGTGTGGGTGTGGGTGTTGATGAATAAAAGACGAACTGTTACGCCCACACCCACACCCACACCCACACCCACACCCACACCCACACC